TCTGTAGGTAGGTTTTAGTAAAGTATCTTTGTTTTCATGACATCATTAAGAGATCACCTGGGCCAGTCAAGAATATGGGACCTTTCTTATATCATAAGTCATGAAACAACATCCTAACTACTTGGGTTATTAAATAGCCAGACAGGCCAGTAGGGTGACCAACTTGTCTTGGTTGACCAGGGACTGCCCCAATTCTATAACTGAAAGTTCGTCATCCATGCAACTGGGACACTAAGCCCAGACTGTTCACACGCAATGCCAGGGAAACGCAAAGAATTAAAATAGAAGAGAAGACACAGAACTCTAAGGTGAACAAATGACAAAGTGATACACAAAGAAATTTCCCAATGACTTTACAAAACCTCTGCCAATTACATGTGGACAAATTGTGGTAGTTGGTACAAATGCCAAAGAGATCAACAAAAATACTGTTTTTTGGATCAAGGGAAAACATGAATTTCAGGAAACCACAGTCTAGTCACTTCAGTATTATTCAATTTTAAATTCAAGTAATTTGGAGGGTAATACTTTGTAAATCACTGTCTGAGATTATCCTTCTCTGAAGTTAGTAATCATATATGAAAATAAACATATGACTTAAAAACAAGGCTGAGTCACACCATGGATGTTTCTTGCATATATTATGCTAAGTAAAATAAGTCAATCACAAAAGGACAAATATTGTATGTGATTCCTCTCAGATGAGGTACCTAGAGTAGTCAATGAAATTCAGACAGAAAATACAAGGGGGTCTTCAAAAAGTTCCTGGAAAATGCATAATATGAAAAAACTGTGCATGGATTTCAAAAAAAAATTTGTGCCAAAATTTACTCCTTTAATTCCATTTTGCATGAAGTTTTTGAAGTATTCTTGTAGAATTGTAGTTGCTGGGAGCTGAGCAAAGGGAGAATAAAAACTTATTGTTTGGACCAGCCAATGGCATGATGGTTAAGGTCTGGATCCCACATGGCCAACGTTGCAGTTCAAGTCCCAGACCCAGTGGCCTGAAAAATGCAGTGGGTGTGCATGCGTGTGTGCCCAGAATCTCAAGAGGAAAATGGAGAAGGAATTACAGCATGGCTATCCTCCCTAGGGGTATGTGGGGGGGTGTCACACTTTCTCCTCTCTCTGTCTCTCGATCTATCTCTGGCAAGCACATATGCCCTATGTCAAAAAAAAAAAAAAAAAGAATAAAGAAAAACCACTGGCCACACTGTGCATGCCCAAACTCCCAAGAAAAGAATGGAGAAAAAGGAATTGCAGTGTGGCCCTCTCCCTGGGAAATGCTTTCTTACTTTTCCTCTCTCACACACAAATGCCAAAGCAAAACAACTGAAAACAGAAAAGAAGGAATGAAATAGAGAGAGAGAAAAAAAAGAAAAAGAAAGACAGAGACTGTGGCATATATATATATATATATATATATATACACACACACACACACACACACACACACACACACACTTTGGAATATTCCTCAACCATAAGGAAGAATGAAACACTGTCATTTGACTCAAAGTAGTTGAATTTAGGAGACTTACTACATAGTAAATTAAGCAATACTTTGAAAGACAAACACTGTATGTCCCCACTCAATATATACCAAATGTCTGAACTGTATGGCAGAAATGGAAAGATCCAAAGATATTGTAGTATGGAGGTTAAGTGTACATACCAGAGACTGGAAGGGAGGGAGACTGGATGATAGAGGGTGGGTGGGAGAAGCAAAGGAAAGAAACAACAGATAACAAAATATAGAGTACTCTGCTGAAAGCTATGTATATGATAATATCCTTGATTCAGTTGTCATGTACTACATGCATACTTTGAAAAACAATAATGTGAGCTATAGAGATGTACAATGATGGAATATACATTTTACATAGCTAGATAGATAAATAGATATAGTAGAAGAAAGTTAAACTGGAATAATGTTTTTAAATTTGCTATAGGGTTCATATGCTTTCTGATGAGACAAAGAGAGAGAGACAATGAAAAAAAATAACCCCCAGATTAGATGGTCATACCATAATCACTTTTCTTTCATTTTCCTGTCAGGATTTTGGGCACATGCCTGGAGTGTTTTTCAGGCCACCAAATCCAGGACTTTAACTGCACATTCTACCATGTGGGTCCAGCCACCTTAACCACCACACCAATGGCTGGCTTTAAAATGAAATAATACTTCTTAATGAAATATCTTTTCAGGTTTTTTTGCTATAGGGCAGAGGTGCTCCCTGGAGAGACAGTGTGAAGAAAAGGGAGAAATCACCCCACAGCCAAAGGGGATGACCATACTGCAATCCCTTCTCCTCCATTTTTCTCTTGGAATTTTGGGCACGCAAGCACACTCATGCACCTAGCATAAGTTTCAAGCCTCCAGATCTGGCACTCAAACCATAGTTGACTATGTGAAAGTCCAGTGTCTTAACACCAGGCCACCTGCTTT